GTGTTATACATCGTGTAACCGAAAAAAAAAATAGAGAGAAAAAACGTGTGTGTGTGTGTATATATATATATATATATATATATATATATATATATCCGTGGGTGGTCTCTTTCATCCTCTGAGCTCGGGTCCTCTACCAGAGGCCTGGGAGCTTGAGGGTTCTGCGCAGTATCTTGGCTGTGCCTAGAACTGCACATTTCTGGACTGAGATGATGTTGTTCCTGGGATCTGTTTGAGCCACTGCTCCAGTTTGGGGGTGACTGCCCCGAGGACCCCGATGACCACAGGCACCACTGTGGTCTTCACCTTCCAGGCCTTCTCCAGTTCCTCTCTGAGGCCCTGATATCTGAATATCATAGAAAAGTTGTTTAATTCCTGTAATTCCATTTAAAAAGTTAAACTTTCATAGGTTATAGATTCCAGGCCCACAGTTTAAACGATTTCAAGTATTTGTTTGGGCTTCCAGCTCATTCAGTCCACAAAATCAGGAATTTAAAAAAATTGAATACTCTGAAGAAATCAGCCCAAATTTTACAGGACATGAATGTTGCAAATTGAGTGTGACACACTAATCATATACTAAACTCAAAGCACCACCAGGTGTCATTAAATTGCTTGAGTTTGGTTCAATTGTCTCACTTCCGTTCATTATGGAGAAGACTTGATACCCTCCATAGAATGGGTAAGCCACAAAAGTTCATAGCTAAGGAGGCTGGCTGTTCAGAGTGCTGTGTCCAAGCATATCAATGGAAATCTAGTGGAAGGGCAACATTTGGCAGGAGAAAATGCACCAGACAAAGAGATGATTGTGGATTAAATTATGAAATCGAGAAGATTCAAGAATCTGGCAGAGATACATAAAGAGTGGAAAGAGGCGGACGTCACAACTTCATAAACCACTGCAGAATGCTAGGAGGAGGGAGAAGAGATCGATTATTTTTTTAATGATTATCTATCATAAGATAGATGTTCCTGTACACTATTTAATATGGATTAAAACTTTTGCTATGACCTAACATAAGTTAGGTCATAGCAAAAGTTTTAATCCATATTAAATCTTTCTTTTTTTTATTACATCCTGCAGCTTTAAGCAGACATTCGGTGAGAGTTCACTGCTGAGCGGAGATTGAGCAGCGCTACATTTGTGAAATATTATTCCTCAGTATCGCATGGCGGTGGTCCAACAGCGAGAACAGAACCAGCATTTTACACCACTATTTTTTGGGGTTATTCATTTAGCTTTCTGATCGTCACGCTAATCCAGCTGAGAGCTGGTCCAGGTGCGCTGTTTTACTTGCTGTCTGATCTCTCCAGGTGTCTTTTTTTTCTGTTTGCTTTTCTTTTTACTGTTAATAAGTAAACTTGGTTGTGGTTCTGACTGTGTTTTATTGCACAGTGTTATGGTTTTCATTCTCTATTTTAAAATCATTAAGAAAATCACTAAGCTTACAAAGGAAACTGATGGATACACTAAATTCAAAAATATATATTTTATAAAATAGACTACTCTGTGTTGTTTGACAATTTTTTGTCCCCCCAACTAACTACACTATCTCTGAGATATGTGAGTCAAGGCACATATCTTGACTCTCAAAGTGTTGAGCACTGATGATGCACAAAACATCTGATGCAGATTGGTTGATGTATTAAGGAGGTACAGCTGTTGGATTAATCTACAGGGCGCAGTGGAGTCAAATTACAATTAAAGGCAACTGGGCTCATTAGAAGTTAAAGGTAAATCATATGAAGTTTGGTGCAAATCAGATGATGCATGTGTGATTTAGTCAAATGTATGCAAACGGCGACAGACTGGAATTCGCTATTCAGCCACGCCCACATGCTTCAGCCAGCAGCTCATGTTGAGAGAAGGATTCACAATCATGTTCTATTTCATTAAGTGCATGTTTAAATCTCTATGAATCATAGAGTAAAAGGGGAATATATACACACACACACATATATATATATATATATATATATATATATATATATATATATATATAAACATAAACTTTATCCACAAGTGTAAAACTGTACTATTCCAAGACAACAGTTGTCAAAGGTCTCTAAAACCACAGAGTTGGACTCCCTCCTGGCAGTAAAGCTCCAGGACAGATGGACTTCTGAGCATATTCAGCTCATGTTCTCTTTCAGTAGACTGGGAGAAGTCATCTGGGCCCTCCCCACAGCCGCCTTCATCAGGATGACTTGGGTAACCTGGATGAACCATAAGCTCTGCTGTGATGACTGGTTGATGAAGGTCAGGTGCTCTTCTGGAGATGGTGCTAGAAGTTCTTGTTCCCAAAGCTTGCTTGAGAGCCCTCTGCAAGCTTGAAACTGACATGTTCTGACCCATGGTGGAGAGTCCCAAGTACACATCTGGCCACCTGCAAACATTATAAAGTATTGCAATATTACAACAAAAGGAGGATTAAGAGCTCTAAAAGCAATCAAATTAAATCAACCCACAGCATTCAACAATATTATACAGTGCACTCAGAAAGTATTCCCACACACACACANACCGGGCTGAACCTGCATGATGAGGTTAGCGCTGGTTCGTTAACCACTAACGCTCTGACCAACTTGGAACACAGACATGAACTTTACAGTAGGGGTGACAAACTCCAGTCCTCCACTGTCCTGCAGTTTTTAGATGTGCCACAGGTACAAAACACTGGAATGAAATGGTTTAATTACCTCCTCCTTGTGTAGCTCAGTTCTCCTTGCTAATGACCTATATTCTATTCAGGTTTGGTGCAGCAGAGGCACATCTAAAAGTTGCAGGACACCAGCCCTTGAGGACTGGAGTTTGACACCTGTGCTACAGGTAGACAGAGCCACACGCTGAGCAGCAGGTTGAGATGTAAATGGTGCATAATTGTTTGTTCACAAAGATAAATCATTCTCACCACTCGCTCAACCCGCACCTCTGAAAGCACCACTACAAGTTATTCCTGCAGTTCACGTTGAGCTGCACAGCCAGAGCTAATGCGGCGGGTTTTAAAAGAAA